TGCCCGATTCACATGGAGCTGCAGCGTCATAGCTTGATGGAGGGTGAGTCTGAAGTTAAGGCTGATGTGATTCATCATAGCAGCGTCAGCCAATAAAGTTAGTCTGCTATCAGCTACTGTTTGAGCTGGGGTATTTGCATAAAGTGGTCTGATTGGCTGATGCTTTCATTGGTGCTTAAAAAGTTGAGAAATTCCCAACAACGAACAACACTGCTGAAGCTGTGCCAACGGATCCACAATTCAGTTTGGCAGCGCTTGATGTCACCCATTTAAAGTGTATGTGCAGCATTGATGCTGACGCCTCATGTGAATGGGCTGTTAGTGTCTTCAGCACTGAACTCCAGTGTTGTTAATATGTCGTTTATATTTGTACTGTAATAATTTTACTATATATATATATATATATATAAATTACTCATGGACAATTTAATGTAATACTGTTTGGTATACCTTCGGCCAACAGCCTTCAATCAAGTTTGATTTTTGGCCCTTCATAAGAAAATGTTTGTGCACCCCTGCTCTAAAGAATATAAACTTGATGGCTTAGCAAATGTTTATATTGAAACAATCATCAGATTATATATTCTATTGTATTGTTATATTTTATTTTCCATTCGATATCATCAATTCACTTTAAATGTGTATTATTTTTTATAGTTTTGCTGATTAATATTGTGTTTGTAATGCGACATTGAAATTCTGCTAATACAGTATTATACAGTTTTTCATAGTAAAAAGTTAAAAATGTTGTGCTTAAAGGGCAGTTCACTTCATCATTAGTCTTTCCAAACTATTTTAAAGCCTGACTTTTTCCAAACCTGAATAACTTTCTCAGGAAACAGAAAATTGTCATTTTGTTTTGCCTTCTTTTGTTTTCTGCCATTAATCAGTCCAGGATTTTGCAAGAACATTTTCTATATATATTTTCAGTCTGGAATAACTGATTTTGTTACAATTTTCTCAAAACACAATGCATTATTTGCTTCAATTATTGTTTTGATCTGAGAAAACACACAAAAATTTATATTTTATATATCTCAAGATCCATTGGATCCTAGAGAGATTCTCCTATTAATTGGAAACCAAGACTGTTTGAAATAAAAATGCAGGAATAAATGATAACTTAGTGTAGATATTTAATTCAATTAATATTTTTTTCTATAGCGCTTTTACAATGTAGATTGTGTCAAAGCAGCTTTACATAGTTTAACAAGTTCTAGCAAACTGAAACCTTGTCAGTTCAGTTTTCAGAGTTGAAGTTCAGTTAGTTTAGTTAGTTCGGTTTAAATTTTACTGCTTAAAGTCCAAACACGAGCAAATCCATCGATGTGCAGCTCCACAAGTCCCAAAATAATAAGATCTAAGACAAATAGAATGTTGTTTTTTTTTTTTTTATCTTATTGGATTTCAGTAATATTTAAAAAGTTACCCTGCATCTTAAAGGTCCTGTGAAGTGCTTTGAAATGTGCATTTTTATTCTATGTTTGATGTAATTTCAACCAAAACACAATGAGAGGGACGGATAAAATGTAGCTCGGATATAATGTAGTTAAAAAAACAACCAATAGCATTTAGTTTTAGTTTGGTTGAGCTCAAGCACATCAAGTGTGAAGCGTCTTGAAGGAGGCGGGGCATGTCAGAAACAAGAGAGCATTTGATTTGTCACGATTTGATGCTAAAATTGGTGACGTGAATAAAATCGTTGATCCATTTAGGTGGAGATGCCAAACTACAAGCTTTACCAACGCATGGCATCTCACGGCAATTCATAACTCTTTAATATAGTGGCTGATTTGTATGAATTCAAATTACAATTTATTACAATTTGCTTATCCCCCAATAACAGTTGAGTTTATGGGTGGGGTTGGATGTCACGCCTCCTTTTAACTTTTACGATTTTAAATGAATTTGCCACTAAACTAACAAAACGTAAAGTAGTCATGTTTTCTCGAGAGATCAGGCTGGCTTCACATGTTTTTATGGGTTTAAATCTCCTAAACATGAATTTTGTCACTGTTTTGGTGCACAATAGCTTATAGATATACTTAAAAACTAACAATACTGACACTAACATTTAAAAAAAATGTTACTTTAATTTCATGGGACCTTTATAATGCTTTCTCTGCGCTTAATTGATTTGAACAAGCTATGTGCATACATTTAATGCTCTTCAAACTGAGGCCATTTGTCCCTGGTGAACATGTTTGACATCCTGCCCTGCACTTTGCAGCAGGTTGAATCAACATGCCCACTTTATTGTTGGCTTGTAATCCCTCCCTGTCTTGTCCCGATGGCGTCAGTGTGCCATGAGGCTACGACAGGACTGTAATCGCTCTTTTAAATATTATTGAACAGCACATGAGCGATTTGGAGATTTCTCTGGAATGCACGAAAGCATGTCTTGGGTTTATTTTCAGGGTTTGCGCGTGTGTATATCTCTGCTGTTCTCCACTTGTGTGTTCCTTTTGAGATGTGAATGATAAACGTGTCAGCATTGCCATCCCCAGCCAGCCTTACATGGAAATGCCAAGTGTATAATATAGTGGAGCGTGAAAAGAAGATATGAGATAGAATGGAGAGAGAGAGATGCTGAAGATACACACAAGAGGAATGAGAAGTGTGGGTGGATATTTGTAAAATGCATTGTACAAAGGCACATCGTTTGATGCTAACTTGGCTCAAAAATGGATATGAGTTTGTGTACATGAATGTTTTTAACCCAATTAGGCTTAATTAGACAAGAATGAATGTGGTCATGTAAACGTGATTACACAAACTTGTTCTCATTTCACGCAGTTTGAGTAGGGGTGGTACAATCAAAATGCTGTATAATATTTGGAGAAATAATGCTGATAATAAACTATATACAGTTGAAGTAAGAATTATTAGCCACCCTTTGATTTTTTTTCTTTTTTTCTTTTTTAAATATTTCCCAAATGATGTTTAACAGTGCAAGGAAATTTTCACAGTACGTCTGACAATATTTTTTTTTCTGAAGAAAGTCTTATTTGTTTTATTCCGGCTAAAATAAAAGCAGTTTTAAATGTTTAAATATTTAAATGTCAATATTATTCACCCCTTTAAGCTATTTTTTTTTTATAGTCAAGAGAAGAGACCATCGTTATACAATAACTTGCCCAATTACCCGTCCAGTTAAACTAATTAACATAGTTAAGCCTTGCAATGCAATACTAAATTTAGTAATGAAAAATTACTTAGTAACAAAGTATAAAAAATAAATTCATTGAGCACATTACAAATGTGTTTTTGAAAGTCAAGAATACTGCACTTGTAGCTGCATTTATAAACTACTTAGTAATGTCTATTAATGTAGAGTAAATGCTTAACAGATGATGAATTGACTATTTGCTAATGCTTAATAAATTATTCATAGTGTTTAATTATTATAATGTTACCGAATTAAATTTAACTTGATGAAACCTGCCGAAACCCTGAGTAGGGAAAGCTTGAAGTTTAGATATCTGGAGTGTGATAACTTAAAGTGACAACTTTTCCTAATTATAACTGATTTAAAACATCAAGGTAGTGCTCTTTTACAAGAATCTTACTCTCGCCAAAGAGCATAGCATCACCAAGAGGCGACACTCTAGTGCGATTTGGGAAACAGCCACTAGATGCCGCCACGGCCATTTTGAAATAAAAATTCCAATAGAACAACAGTATATTATAAGTCTGTAAAATAAACTATTATAAGTGCTGATGATTGGAATAGGAAGTGTTGTATTGTCGTATTTAAGGTTGTGTCTCAGCTGTAATGCACTTTTTAAATAAAAAAAAAAAAGCTGCTTGCCATTGGACGGCCGATCATTTTCACTCCAGAATGGTGGAATTGCGGGGTTGTTGCTGGCCTCTGCTGTTGCAATGGAACGTTCTATTGAGTGTCGCCTCTTGGTGATTTTAAGCTCTTTGCTTTCATTTAAAGATCAGATTGAATCATATTTATTTACATTTAAATATTCCAGTGAAAGTAAAGGGGAATTTGGTTCTTAGATGCTTTGCGATGCAAATATGAATGATTCTCAATCAAATCACAAATATCAAGATTAAACTTTCTATTTCTGAATATTAATTGATAGTATAATGGATCCCAAAAGGCTGAAATCCACAGCACAGAAGTGTATCACACAGACAATCACATTTAGTTCCAATCACTGTGGACCAATGGTAGCTCAAAGGTGTTAAGGAGCCAAGACAAACTCCTCTAAAAAGTTTGCTTTGTTGAGCTGTTTTCAACTGCCAGGTATTTGACAGAATTACATCATTTCAGTACATTCTTTAACTTTTTTAGTATACCATGGCCTTAACTTCAAGTAGGCAATGCTGCAGCCTAGAGACCTCCAAGTGGAAGGGACTTATACCACAAACAAGCTGGGTTTAGGGATGGTAGAAGTGTAGACATTATTAAAACACAACAGATTACTGTAAGTTTAGGTTTAGGGATGGTTTAGGTGTAGTAGACATTAATAAAACACAACAGAATACTGTAAGTTTGGGTTTAGGGATGGTGTAGGTGTAGTAGACATTAATATAACACATAAGGCTTCTGCCAGGTTGGTGTAGGTTTAGACATTGATTAAAAACACAATAGGTTTGACAAGACATTAAATAATGAAAACTCTAGGACGTTTATATACTGTAGCCTACTTTGAGCTCAACGTTTAGTGTACCAGCCCATTGAAGCTGGCTATAGGTTTGCCAAAGACATTTGCTATTGGTGAATTGGATGAACTAAATTCGTATGACTGTGTGCGTGTAAATGTGAGTGTGTATGGGTGTTTCCCAGCAATGTGTTGCAGCTGGAAATGCATCCACTGGATGAAATATATGCCGGAATAGTTGGTGGTTCATTCCACTGTGGCGACCCCTGATAAATAAAGTACTAAGCCGAAGGAAATTGAAAGAATGCTGGGTTATTAGTTTGCAATTTTTAGTTATCAGTGTACATGTACAGGCTTGTAAAAATGGAGTTGTGATCTTACCGATCTGCTCTGCTGCATGAAGCTGTGTGTGGGCCTGCGCTTGTGCCTGCGTCTGTGTCTGCGCCTGCTGCTCCTGCAGACTCTGACTGTCCACTGAGATGCCGCTGTCACTGTGCAGCTTCTCCCCTTCTGGAGATGGTGTCTGATTGGCTGTGGCTGCGCGATTGTTAGCTGCCTGTTTATTCTGCTTGCAGCTGTTCCACCTGGAAGACACAGATGCACACGTACAGTACAAATGAATGTAATGAGAGACAGCAAAACATCCGCTGCTTTCAGATGCAACAACAAACACTTGTGTATGCTAGTAGTGGATTTTTTTTTCTAGACACAGCTTTAGTCTTTTAATATTTTACAATTTTTTTTTTTGTTTGTTTGAGGGGTAGTTTACTCAAAAATAAACATTCTGCCACCATTTACTCACTCTTCATATGTTCAAAACCTGTTTGAGTTTCTGTTGAACGCAAAGGAAGATACTTAGAAAAATGCTGGCAATCGGCACCCATTGACTTCTCAATGATTTTTCAACAGTTCAACAGAAGAAAGAAACACATAAATGTTTACAATCACGAGGGATAATAAATAATGAGGTTCTTTTCTTTATTGCGTAAACTATCTCTTTAATATGAAGAATTTTGCGACGAAAAAAACGAATTGGTTAATTTCATGGTCATATTCACCCATTTCAAATGTTATCACTGAATTGAATCGGCTTTAACAGTGGTTATCAGCTGATAGATATGGGCCGGGGGCATTCTGCGCCGACTGGTCGGCTAAGAAGGCTGTAATCATCCATCCACATGATTAGTCAGCTATACTAATAGAGAAGACACCAGATTCAGATCTGTTTTTACATTACTGTGATGGTTGGGTTTAGGGTTGGGCTAGGCGTAGACATTAATAAAATACAATTAATAGGAAAAGTAATAAGTAATATAAATAATTATCGTGGTTAATCAGCTATTCTAATAGAGAAGACTCCAGATCTGTTTTTGCATTACTGTGACGGTTGGGTTTGGGGTAGGGGTAGATAATAATAAAATACAATAAATGGGAAAGTTAATAAATAATATAAATAATTCTTGTAAACTTTCGGCCGCAGTCATATGTGATCTGTAGCTATCCCATGTGGATGGATGATAACGGCCTTCTGAGCCTACTAGTAGGGGCAGAAGGCCACTACTGGCATATATCTATCAGCTGATAACCACTGATAACGCTCATTCAGTCAAGCGATAACATTCAAATCAGCTGTCATATTAGACTGATAATACGCAACTATAGGTCAGTTCACTTCCAGTGTATTATAATTGGATGATTTGGTCAAATAATTAACACTTGATAAATAAATCAAAAAGTGTCAGCAGATATGAAACAGTGTAATGTGCATTAGTTAACATGCAGCTGCAGTTATAGTTGTTTATAGACAACCAAATATCTAAAGGGGATCAACAAAGTGTAGGGAAAATAAAATATGTACATAAAATTCTGGCTAAAATTAGAATCACGATTTTTTTACTTAAAATCAAGATCACAATTTGTTTTCACTGTTATGTAGATGTATAATAAAGGTTAATATGAGTAGGCTATAATTATTGCTATTCCTAAACATATGGTAAAACATCCTCTCGGTAGAAAACAAACAGTGAGTCAGCTCATGTGTGATTTCTCAGCCGGGGATACATCATTACATTAGGAGAGAAATTACATTTTTGGGTGAATTATACCTTATAAATACAGTATGTGACACTTTTAACTCCCTTTGGAGGTGCCGATGTTGCTAAGCAACAAATATAAAACAATGTGAAGACTTGTTTGACCGCCTTTACGCTTCTCTCCTAACCTTGAAAATATAATTGGCTGAATCGTAGAAAAGCTACATTAAAATTGTGTGTAGGGTCGAATCGAGACTGTGATCTTTTTAATTGTGCAGCCCTACATGAAATTTTTGAATGAAACTGTTACTTGAGCAAGAAATAATTGAGCAAGAATGCATTAAATTGAGCAAAAATGACGTCCAACATATATATTTTAAATAATAAATGCTCATTTAAACATTTATTTTTTTTAAGAATTCAGGGGAAAATCATTATATTTAGTTAAAATTTACAGAAATATTAGGTAGCACTTTATTTGTTTATAGCAAAAATTAACAAACCTTAATGTTTCTTGTCCATTAATTCATCATAATCTAAAGATTTCTAAACACTCGTGTGACATTGACAACTGTCAAAAATCCAGCTTTGCTATCCCAGGGATAAATTTGAAAATACAAATATTGATGAAACAAATGCCGCCTTTGTAAACCTAAGAGTCTTCTAAAAGTCTTACAGACCGCCACAATGTTGAATGCTATAACCTTTGTCTAAAAGCAATAAAGGCCTATGATTTTTTTGCACTGCTTTTGCTCACCTTTTGAAAATGATGTACGCCAGGAGGCCGACCACAACTGCAGCCAGGATAGAACAGTAGATGGGGATCAGGTTCTCATTTAGCCCTCTGCCAATGAAGTGAGGGGAGCTGGGTTTGGGTGTGGTGGCATCATCTCCAGGGCTAGGGCTCCACAGACGATCTAAATCAGTGTCAAATGAACCAGAATCACCCGTGGAAGTGGGATAGGTGGGACTCAGTGGATCTAGGATAGAGAGAGAGAGACGGTCACACAAACATTAGGTATATACACTCAAACTTATAGGGAAAAACACTCTAAACAGGTTTCACACTCTATTATAGTTATGTAATTTAAAATGCAAATGGGATATTGAACTGAACCTAATGAGACCGTTAGTGGAAGCTGTGAAATTGACCAATCGCTGTCTGGATGGTGTTACATGATATATGGCCCTTTTCACCCACTAAAGGCACTATTTGTCTTTTTATCTGTCTTCCTCTCTTTATTGATTTGATGCATAATTTATAGAAAGGCATCCCCCCATAAACTTCTCCCAGTTCCCTATAGAGGACAATAGAGGCCGTCCACTTTTTCCGAAGCCTTTGTGCCGGAAGTATTTTTCCCATTCTGTTTTTCCCTCGCTTTTTATCACACGCATTATTTACATTACAAACTAGTACTTTATAGCTTTTAATAATAAATTATTCATCCAATGAAGCTTTTCAAAAACAAAAAAGATGCATTATTGACTTTACTATTTAAGTCGTTTATTCAGTATGTGTTGGACGTTTTAATACAGAACAAAATCAATTTCTGTGGAGGAAATGAATGGAATTTTTACTAAGGGAACCCAACTGTTGCACTTTATACACACACACAGAGGCACAAAATCTCCCTTGCTTTCCTGTTGAACTCTTCACTCCTCCTGAAAGAAAGATTCCAGAACGGAGTGGAGATTGTTATGGTTCATTTCTTTCGTGGCTGTAAAATTGGTGGTGACAGAGTTTGATCTGGCTCAACATGAGGTCTTAACATGGCTCTCTAGAATATTCTCATTCTCTGAACTATTCCAGAGCGTACATGTGCGTGACGGATTGAGAAATGCTGAAACCGAAAACCTCTTCGTTCTCTGTTTTATTTTTGATTTCGACAAAGCAACTACTGAGTATTCAGAGGTGCCATATTTTGCAACAAAATGAAAAAAAAAAAAAAAAACAGCACTCCTAATTTACATGGATGATATTTTGGGATTTTGAAAGCTCTTGTAGATTGTGTTGGAGATGAGGTGCTCTTTGGGTCGGACTTCCATTATGTGCAATCAAGCCTGTACAAATGATTCAGAATAAGGCTGCAACACAATTGCTCTTCAACAAATCCTGCGGTGCCATTTACACTAGTGCATTTTTGTATTAAAACACTTAGGATTTGTTATGGTTATGCAGGTATCTTTGTGGAAGTGGAAAAACTGAATGTTTATGAGCGAGAAAACAGCTAAACAGACCATCTGCAGTACAAGGATAAAGAACCAGCCTCCTCCATTCGGCCTCTTTAGTTTTTCTTTATTTTAATTTTCTTCTACTTTACTTTCGTGGACAAGAATGTGAAAATTAGGGTTTTGCTGATCTGAAAATACCAACAAATCATTCAAAACACCTCTTGTGCCTTATTGCGCTAGGTGTATGATAGGGCACTTTATAACAAAAATGTGACAATATAATACATCACAATCATATTTTATTCTTCAATCTTTGTTTTCAACTTAAAGGAAAAACAACACTAAAGGGGAAAAAGGAAAATTGAAAAAAGGAGGGGGGCACGGGTTGTTTTAATTAGTAACAGATTATTCTAGATAAAACATTAGGAAGACATTGATGGAAATACAAATCCTCCATAGAAGGCACATACCAGATCAGCACTATGATAATGGTTTGTTTAATTAAATCTCTGTAAAATTGGAGAATGTGTAGATAGGACAAAAACAAAGACTTTTGACAAATCATGGAACATTACGCCATAATTACAGAAAACCAATCAAAGTATGATTGTAGATAGCCAAACCTTCATTTTGAAAAGTATGGCTCAGTCCATCTTTTTTCAAACTAAGTTGAGGTCTTTAACATTTTCAAAATGCTCAATTTTTATTATTATTTTTTTTTTGTGGTTTAAATATGCCAAAGTAGTGTGGCCACCAAGCATAACCATAACAAAACATATGCATTTTAAAGTAAAAATGCACTTGTGTAAAATTGCACCTTAGTTTGGAGAAACAGATTGAATTGAATTTAATATTTTATTTGACAGATTTTAGACAACCTGTACAAAAATACAAGTATCCCATATATTTTGAATCAGTTTACATCAGGGGTGTCCAAACTCGGTCCTGGAGGTCTACTGTCCTGCATATTTTGGTTCCAAACCTAATTAAACACACCTGAACCAGCTGATCAAGCTCTTTCTAGGTATACTAGACTTTCAGGCAGTTGTGTTGAAGAAGGTTGGAGCTAAACTATGCAGGACACCTGCCATCGAGGACTGAGTTTGGACAACCCTAGTGTACATGGTTACATTAATTAAGATATTAACCTAACTTATTTTTGCGCTCAGACAAAACCCATTACCTGAGAACAAGTAACATATTCTATAGACCGAAATCGGGAAATATGTCGTTAGAAGTAGACAATAAGATTAATTAAATATGACGTTTAACAAATATAGGGAGATTTAATCCTTGATGAACAGTCCGATGTGCACAGCTCTCATATGGGTTGATGTGCTCAAAACACGCTGCAGTGCATCCCATCCAGGTGATGACTTGGCTCAGCCCAGCTTAGCTTCAGTGAGTTATGTATCATTCACTTATTTGTCGAGCAGCTCTCATATCACCATTATAGAACTGGCAGACTACAAGTTGCTTGCAAATATGTGCATGCCCATTGAGTGTGAATGGTCAAATATCATATGTTTTAGGCTGTAAAGTGTGGGACGAGTGCATTTTTCTGAAACGCAATAAAAACCCCAGTCTGGGCTAGGAGCATTCTCATTCTAAAACACACTTTGGTACTGGATACTGGTTTCAGCTTGCCTCAAGTTCAAGTAATTACAAATGTACAGTTTATCTCATCCGAAACCTTCTCATTCACTGTTCCTAGCTGGTGGATCTTCCCATCCCCATCTGGAACATCAAATCCCTGACTAAATAATCAAAAATCCTCAAATCCATGAGTACTCTTCTGCATTTCCAGAACATTCAGCTCAAGTCTGTTATTTGCCATCCTAAATTGGTCAGTTCCTGGTTGACCAACCACTATTTTCTAAAACCAGCTGCTTTGTGAAGATGCGAGATTGATTTAAATCAACTTTAAAATTAGACAAGCAATTCACAAACAAAGCTAATTTAAGCCTATTTAATAATTGAACTTGCTAATTTGCTTTACCATTTAGCTGACAGTCCTGTTTGAAGTCACTCTGGATAAACTTGTCTTTTTCTAAGCTATTGCTGACTGACCAGCTACTATGCTCTAAAATCCTGTTTGAAACCAGCTAGTCTATTCCAAAACATATCTACCACCTTAGCTTCTGTTTATAGTTTATGATGTTTCTGTAAAACATAAGTCATGTCTGAATATTGAAAGTTGAGAGCTGTTTAAACAATTAATTCAAGGACAGTGTTTTTTAGATTGGTTTGCAGACAGACAAACACAAACACGCAGTCTTCTTATCTTCAACACCTCTTCAAACTCGTGGGCATCTGAAGACTTGTGCAGTCGCCCCTCTTTCTTTTCTTTATCAGTCTCTTTCACTAACTGTCGGTCTTTTTTTAGTCCATCTCCACCCTCTTTGTTCACATTCATTCATTCATTTATGTCTGACCAAGTGTGCACTAAAACTTGAACGATTTCTGTAAGCTCTTTTATTTTCTCTGTCCCTATGATTTAAAAAAAATATATATATATATGTAAAACTTTGACACGCCAACATGAGTTTTTCGGCCTGTCTGAGCTCGAAACCTGTGTAAAAACGAGTCATCGCTTTTATTGGACTGAGCCTGTTAAACTCAACTGAGCCAAAGGTTAACAATTTTAAATCCTTCAGGCTTTATTTGATGCCATTTTTCCCTTTTAACTAAGCGATTTTGGGATGAGATGCCAAGTGTGAAGTGCTTGTTAACCCTCAGCTGGGCGCCGTCTTTAATGAGGAGTCTGTATTCTCATCCTCTCGCTGTGCTGTTTTTTAGAAGGGATTTTTATGCTTATCTGGCAACCCTTTTCAAGTTTGTTAGAATGGTTGTCTTTATCTAACAGAAAACACTCTCGAAAGACTGTCACACACACACACAGGCACACAGCAACCCTTATATTCTCTTCTTGTGTGTGTGATAGACAGGAGGGGGAGCGATAAGAGCCTGATGGGTGTGTGCGTGTGTGTGTGTGAACGGATGGATGGCTGAATGAACAGAAGCTTTGCTGTTAAGTGCTCTGATTAGCGGCAGTAATTACACTAGCAGGAGGCATTAACACACATACACACACACTTATTAATCTGTCTTAAACAAGGATTTGTTATTTAAAAGTCGCATTAAAAATCGGAAAGTTGACAAATCCGAAGCTATTTTATTATGTAGGTATGCGTATGTTTGCTATAGTTTAGATTTGTTTTGTGTAGCTTACAGTATATACAGTTGGGGAAATAATTATTGAACATGTCACCATTTTTCTCAGTAAACATATTTCTAAAGGTGCTGTTGACTTGAAATTTTCCTTGAACGTTGGTAACAACCAAAGAAATCCATAAATGAAAAGAAAATAAATCTTATTAGTTTACAAATGAAATTATGAAGGATAAAATGAAATGACACAGCGAAAAAGTATTAAACACATGAAGAAGGGGAGGTGTAGAAATGAATGGAAAGCCCAGACAGCAGCTGAAATCTCTCAGTAGTTCTTCAGCAACTTTCTGCCCTTCCTGAGTGTAAATAAATTTCAGCAAGACAATGATCCAAAATACAGCCTATGAAACTCTCAAATAGTTTCAGAGAAAGAAAATCAAGATGTAGAATGCCTTAGCCTGTTACCTTATTTGAATGAAACAGAAAGCTCTAACTAGTTTGAATTTAAATGTATTGTCTTTCCATTCCAAAAGAATTTAGGGCACCAATTTCTTATTAAAGAGCTCCTATTTTACCTCTTTTACAAGATGTAAGATAAGTCTTTGGTATCTCCAGAATGTGTCTATTAGGTTTCGGT